GAATGCGATTTCCTGATTTGTAAACTGCTGGAGTAACTACAAGGTCGTATCTGTAAACAACTGGTTGATTTGGATTTTGAATTTGTTGGACGTATCTAAGAGGGTTGTATGTGAGTGGTATTTTAGGTCCAACTCTCATTCCTTGAATTACGTGAGAAAGATCGAAATTTGGTAATTGACCTGAAAGATCATGAACGTGACCGTATCGTTCCTTCATATTTGTGCCAGGAGCAATGTGGAAATTACCTTGGGCTTTATTTAAGCAGACTTTTCCTTTAATTCGGCATTTTTCGTTTTCATAAACTTTGCCAGGGTTTTTTCCTTGGCATTGCGGCCAATCTTTCGTATTTGCAGCCTTTCCGTTCATTATATGCAAAAGGAGTGTTTGCTCGCAGCTATTGCAGCAGGATCCCTCTGGTAAAAGGCCATAACAAGAGTGACAAATGCTTGAGATGGTTTCGTTTGCATATCCGAGTTCTTTTTCTTGCGCTGAGAGGCGGATGAATTTAGCTGTTGTATTTATATTGAGTTGATTGAATCCGAGATTATCAATAACATCAAGATGCAAAAAGTAGCATGGCATATTTACTTTGACATCTAAAGAAACGTTAGCAAGCTCTTGTTGATCTAAACCTTGGATTTCAAGATAAAGATCTCTAACAAGTTTTGGTTGTATAAGTCAAAAATGTGTATTAAAACAATAGTTGCGCCAAAAGCAGTCAAAATTGTGGATAATATTGCACTAGACTTTGTATCGAGCTTGAAATCATCATTAGTGGATTTATCGAAGATATCAATATATTGAATAAAAGAACGCATAATAATTGAAAAAGTGACAATTTTATTATCATTTCTCACTCTATCAGATTGAGTGAATTACTTAGAATCAATTGTCTTTGCATGGGTATATACACTATGATATGGATTATTGGAATGGAAAATGCAGAGATTGATCGATTTAAAGCATTATTTGAATTATTTATTTTTGATTTTGGGAGTTTACTGAATAATTTGCATTAATAAGATATCTGACATCTGAAAACCTACTCTTTCTATCAGATTCTAAGCATTTCAATCAGATATAAGTGTACAATGTTATAATCATATTTTAATGAGAAACATTGAAAATGCATAACTTACTAATGGGTTTAAGGTAATACTGGAGTAAAATACTGTAAAAACTGATGTGTTTTCTAATAATATAGTTGGTTCAACCTCTTTTCTTGCGTTATAGGTCGAAGGTATGTAGGAATAGCAGAATTTTGATATTCAAGCGTATCAAAATTAAGGGAAAAAGATAAATAAATTATAAATTTTATCTTCTCTTAAGATTGAATAGCATAATTCATGAATTGTAAAGCAAACTCTAAATGTAAAAGATAATATTGGTTTAAATAGTGAATTTTACTCTATAAATTAATATGTAACAAGGTAAAACTTTGGTTGAGGAATGGCGTTCTGGAGTGGGAAGTTGCCACCCTTATTCCAGTTATATATAATATTTATTTTTGTCATCTTCATAATAGTATACTATTCTCGTTTTTTCTATTGCATTATATCTTTTATATCTATAATAATCTAAATATAATGTTTGCTTTTTTGGGTCTACACGTGCGTCAACACCATAGTCATAATAATACGGTGCTGGAGCTACGTTAGACAATGTCATATCCGTCATTTCATAAACTCTTAAATATTTCTTTTGTTCGTCTCCATATAAGTTTAAGTAGCAGTTGTTGTCTAATGGAACTTTAACTTGTGTGCCATTATTTCTTTATATAGCCTACATACATTTCATTGTTATTTTCGGAATGAGTTTATACCGTATACCATTTCTTAAGGACTGTACAAACTCCCATCTAAAATATTTGTTTTCTTCATTGACAGAAAAGTCGCCAACAATAGTTTCAATATTTTTTTTGTTCTATCAAACTTTGGTATAATTTCGTTAACATATTCCTTATCTGCCTTCTTATTTAACTCATCGTTAAACATATTCCTTATCTGCCTTCTTATTTAACTCATCGTTAACATATTCCTTATCTGCCTTCTTTGCTAACTTCATCGTTAACATATTCCTTATCTGCCTTCTTATTTAACTCAATCGTTAACATATTCCCATTATAGTCAAGATTTTACATACCCTGAAAACATAAGATTATATTATAAAAAATATTCTGACACAAACCAGAAGAAACCCGAAATAGTTACACTATATTTTAAGTTCAAAAGAGACAATCCTATAATATCTCATATGTTTGATTTAATGAACCCAGTAGGTTCTATTTATACATCTATGGATGTGAGAGGTCCTCAAGCAATGTTTGGTGTTGGTGCATGGGAACAAATAGTCGACAGGTTTTTGTATTGTGCAAACTCTTCAAAGGAAACAGGGGGAAGTAAAACAATTACGGGTGAAAATTTACCTGCACACAGTCACTACATAGATTTAAGCACATCTCAAGCAGGTTGGCATAAGCATAGATATTGGGATTGGTCAGGAATGACAAAAGGTAAAGGATATGATGTTAAAGATGATGTTAAATTTGCCATAAATTGTTACTGGAGTGACACTCAGGGAGAAGGAAACCATACACATAATGTTTCAGGATATACGCAAACGACGGGACAGAGTAAAGATTACATGCCACCATTTATGACTGTATTCGCATGGTATAGAGTTCAATGAACGCTCAATGTTTGTGAAACAAACTTTAGGAGCTCCAAAAGAGCAAACGACATAATTTAAATTTTTATTTTAGTATAAATGAAGATTCTACCATATGGTGTTATTGGAAGAGATAAAGATGGAAACCCAATATTTGATCCAAAGTTAAAATTAAAGTTACTGACAAGACAACAACTTGAAAAGTTGCTGAAACCAAAACAGAATGAAAAATGAGAAAATGAGAAAATGAGAAAGAAAAAAAATTTAAATTATGCAATTTTATTTTTATCATAAATGACCAAATTAATTAAGCCAACTATTTCTAAATTAATGATACCAATGAAATCATTTCGTGGAGTACTTATCCCAGGTTCTTCACAATTAGCCGGGGCAAGTGTTGTGACTCAAGGTGGAACATTAGCGAATCCATTCAAATTATTAACTAAAGATGAACTTAATAAAATGATGATAAAATAACTGATAACAAAAATATATTTCACTGCTACCATAAAAACAGGTGAAAAAACAGGTGACATCTCACCTCTTCACCTAAATTATATTTTTGGTCAAAGCTTCCACGAGAGAAAAGATTCCTCATTTGCTAAGGATTCCAAAAATGAAAAAATCGTTGATTTCGGCTGAGAAAAAACGGCAAAACCCTTCTTCCACGGGAACAAAGAAATAAAGAAGAAATAAAGAAGAAATAAAGTAAATTTTTTATTTATTCCCGTGGAAGATAGAGCACTTTTATGACACTTTTTATTCACGACAAACAAGACAAACAAAGAAAATAAGAAAATACGGCGCTGTCGCGGTTCGAACCACAGACCTTGACCCCTCCATAACACCACCTTAGACCACTGTGCTACGTAGCCTGTCGACATAAGATTTTATAAATTGCATATTTGACGTAAATTTATTTCCCAGTTATTCAAAAATAATTAATAACTACCTTCCTCCTGTGTTGTTGTCAAAATGTCATGTTGTCATCATTTTTCAGAGAAGTTGAATTACCTGGTAGCACATGGTAGCATGGTAGCACCTCCAGTTATTCAAAAATAATTAATTATTGAATAACCTAAAAACATTCACGATAAAATAAGTGATAACAAATTTTTATTTTTATCATAAATGAATACCCCACAAGCTCAAAATTTACCACGAATCATAACAAGGGAGGAAATGATAAAAATGATGCAAGAACATGTTAAAAATAACAAACCACTAAAACTGAGAAAATGTGGTTATGCAGTAATGATGGAAAGAGAGATGTTGTCGAAGAGGAATAAAAATTAAATTTGGATTGAGTTTAAAAATTCATCTTTATTAAATTCATCTCTTCCAATCAATTTATTTATTCTATTAAATTCTTTTATTTTTACTTCACTCAGTTTAAGGAT